GTCAAGTAAACAATATGGGGGGGGGAGGGGGGGGGGAGCATGTTGTGGGGAGATAACAGTATTAATAGTAAATCCAGAATAACAAACTAAGGCCAGCTTGGAATTTACAGCGGACAAGAAACCAATACCCAAAAAAAAAATATACACACTAGTATCAATGATTGTTGCGGCTCGCAACCCGATCCCAATATTTAACAACACCGTTGCGGCGTGCAACCCGATCCATAAATATCATTGTTGCGGCGTGCAACCCGATCCATAAATATCATTATTGCGGCGTGCAACCCGATCCATATCATTTAACATTGTTGCGGCGCGCAACCCGATCCATAAATGTCATTGTTGCGGCGCGCAACCCGATTCATAAATATCATTGTTGCGGCGTGCAACCCGATCCATAAATATCATTATTGCGGCGTGCAACCCGATCCATAAATATCATTTAACATTGTTGCGGCGCGCAACCCGATCCATATACATCATTCACCGTACGACATCACCCTTCGTGCTTTAACACTCATCCTCACCCAATCAATAATCACAAACAAGGGCAAGGGAAAGTAATACAACAAGAATAGAAGTCCCGACAAGGGTACACAACAACAATTTAAAGACCCGGCAAGGGTACAACATCAATAACCAACAACGTCCCGGCAGGGGAATGAATCATTAACTCTTCTCTTTCTTTCACTTTCATCTCAAAGTTCACATTATGACTAGAGCCAAATGCTCCCAAGGAGTTACTTATCTCATATACCTTCACAATTTCTATTTCAACCCGAGCCAATGCTCCAAGGGGTCCAAAGATCATAATTTCTTTCACGAGATCTTTACAACACATAGAAGTCATCAATTAAGCATGGAAGGCATAACAACAACCAAACTATTCGTAAAATGAGGACTCACGGTCATGCTAGACACCAATGTATAGATACTCGTCACCATGCCTATACATCGTACTCGACAATTAACAAGTTACAATTAAGACTCAACTCCTATTCCCTCAAGATAGGGTTAAACCAAACACTTACCTCGATGCCTTGAACTCAACTCAAGCCTCAATTATGGCTTTACCCCGAAATTCCACCTCCAATCCGCTCGAATCTAGCCACAAATTACTTAATTACATTAATAAACACTAAATGAATCAATTTGAATGCATAAAAATAAATTTCCCAAAGTTTTTTCCAAAAAATTCCAAAATTGCCCACGGGCCCACGTGGTCAAAACCCGAGGTTCGAACCAAAACCCGGTTACCCATTCCCCCACGAACTCAAATATGCAATTTGTTTTAAAATCGGACCTCAAATTGAGGTCCAAATCCCCAATTTATAGAAAACCTAGGTTCTACTCAAACCCCCAATTTCTCCCATGAAAATCATTGATTTTAAGTTGAAAACATGTTAAATGATGTTAATGATTGAAAGAGTTAAGTAAAAATCGACTTACAAATGATTTGGGATGAAACTTGTTCTTGAAAAATCGCCTAAGGAGTTGTATTTTGAAAGTGGGCTTAAAAATGGTCTAAAATTCGACTAAGTATGAAAAATGCAGGTTGCAGATGTGAAAAATGCGCAGTTGGGTTCGCAATTGTGAACCCTGCAGGTTTGGGAAATGCGACATTACTGTTCACATTTGCGAACTCAGGCCAACCAGGGTACCTTCGCATTTGCGAATTGTGTCTCGCATTTGCGAATTGTGTCTCGCATTTGCGAATTGTGTCTCGCATTTGCGAACCAGTGACCATCGCATTTCCGATGTTTGGCTTCGCATTTGCAAACCTTGGCCGGCCTAGGCTGGTTTCGCATTTGCAAACCGGCCTAGGCTGGTTTCGCATTTGCGAACCAGCCTCCGCATTTGCGATAGCTGGACCTTCGCATTTGCGAACTCTGGCTTCGCAAATGCGAATCCTGCAGATCAGCTGATACCAGATTTTTCCAAAATGAGAAATGCAATCCGACACCTATCCAAAACTCACCCGAGCCCTCGAGGCTCCAAACCAAATATGCACACAACCTCAATAACATCCTATGCACTTACTCGCGCAATCAAATCGCCAAATAACATAAAAAACAACGAATCATACCTCAAAATCCCTAGTTTTTCTTCAAACTTCATAAACTTTCAATTTTAGAGTTTTAAGTCCGAAACACGTCAAACGACGTCCAATTTCAACCAAACTTCACAGAAAGCGCTTAAACCATATATAAGACTTGTACCGGGCGCCAGAACCAAAATAAGGGCCCGATACCACAGTCTTTTAATCAAATTTCATTTCTAATTTCCTTAAGAATTTCAGAAAAACAATTTTACTCAAAAATTCATTTCTCGGGCTTGGAACCTCGGAATTCGATTTCGGGCATACGCCCGAGTCCCATATTTTTCTACGGACCCTCCGGGACTGTCAAATCACGGGTCCGGGTCCGTTTACCCAAAGTGTTGACCGAAGTCAAATATTTATTCATATTAATATCAAATTTAGTCTGTTTCACACGGAATTCATATTTAAGCTTTCCGGCTACGCGCCCGGACTGCGCATGCAAATCGAGGCAACCATAAATGAGGTTTTCGAGGCCTCGGAAGCACGGAATGAATGAGAAAGCAGGTGATGACCCTTTGGGTCGTCACATTCTCCACCTCTAAAACAACCATTCGTCCTCGAACGGACAAAAGAAAGAAGTACCTGAGTCGGGGAAAAGATGGGGATAACGACTACGCATGTCAGACTCGGACTCCCAGGTCGATGCCTCAGGAGGCTGACCTCTCCACTGAACACGAACAGAAGGGAAACTCTTGGATCTCAACTGACGGACCTGCCGGTCCAAAATAGCTACCGGCTCCTCCTCATAAGACAGATCCTTGTCCAACTGGACAATGCTGAAATCTAACACGTGGACTGGATCGCCTTGATACCTCCGAAGCATGGACACATGAAAAACTGGATGCACGGTTGATAAGCTGGGCGGCAATGCAAGTCTATAAGCCACCTCTCCCACTCGATCAAGAATCTCAAACGGATCAATGAACCTAGGTCTAAGCTTGCCCTTCTTCCCAAATCTCATCACGCCCTTCATAGGCGACACTCGGAGCAATACCCGCTCACCAACCATGAAAACTACATCTCGAACCTTACGATCCGCATAGCTCTTTTGCCTAGACTGAGCTGAACGAAGCCTATCCTGAATGATCTTGACCTTGTCCAAGGCCTCCTGAACCAAATCTGTACCCAACAACCGAGCCTCTCCCGGCTCAAACCATCCAACCGAAGACCGACACCACCTACCATATAAAGCCTCATAAGGAGCCATCTGGATGCTCGAGTGGTAGCTGTTGTTGTAGGCAAACTCCGCTAAAGGCAAGAACTGACCCCACGAACCTCCAAAGTCAATAACACAAGCTCGAAGCATATCCTCCAAAATCTGAATAGTCCGCTCGGACTGGTCGTACGTCTGGGGATGAAATGATGTGCTCAACTCAACCCGTGTGACCAACTCTCGCCGGACTGCTCCCCAGAAGTGCGAGGTAAACTGCGTACCCCGGTCCGAAATGATAGATATCGGCACACCATGAAGGCGAACAATCTCCCGGATATAGATCTCAGCTAACCTCTCGGATGAATAGGAGACTGCCACAAGAATGAAATGCGCTGACTTGGTCAGCCTATCAACAATGACCCAAACTGCATCGAACTTCTCCCGGGTCAAAGGAAGTCCAGTAACGAAGTCCATAGTGATCCTCTCCCACTTCCACTCGGGAAGCTCAATCCTCTAAAATACACCACCAGGCCTCTGATGCTCGTACTTAACCTGCTGACAATTCAAACAACGAGCCACATATGCTACGATATCCTTCTTCATTCTACGCCACCAATGATGCTGCCGCAAATCCTGATACATCTTCGTGGCGCCCGGATGAATAGAGTACCTGGAGCTATGGGTCTCCTCTAAAATCAACTCTCTAAGCCCATCCACATTAGGCACACAAACTCGCCCCTGCAATCTCAAAACTCCATCCGCACCTAAGGTAACCTGCTTGGCACCTCCTCGCTGCACCGTGTCTCTAAGGACACACAAATGGGGATCATCAAACTGCCGATCACGAATACGCTCCAATAATGAAGAACGAGCGACCGTGCAAGCTAATACTCGGCTAGGCTCAGAAATATCCAGCCTCACAAATCGATTGGCCAAGGCCTGAACATCCAAAGCAAACGGCCTCTGACTGACCGGAATATAAGCAAGGCTGCCCATACTGGCTGACTTCCTACTCAAAGCATCGGCCACCACATTGGCCTTCCCCGGATGATATAAAATGGTGACATCATAATCCTTCAACAACTCCAACCATCTCCTCTGCCTCAAATTCAACTCCTTTTGCTTGAACAAGTACTGAAGACTCTTGTGATCAATGAACACCTCACACGCCACGCCATACAGATAATGCCTCCAAATCTTCAAGGCGTGAACTATAGTTGCCAACTCTAAATCATGCACTGGATAGTTCTTCTCATGAATCTTCAACTGCCTCGTAGCATTGGCAATGACCTTGCCATCCTGCATTAACACCGCACCAAGCCCAATACGGGAAGCATCACAATAAACTGTGTAAGGCCCTGATCCTGTGGGCAAAACCAACACCGGTGTCGTGGTCAGAGCTGTCTTGAGCTTCTGAAAGCTCGCCTCGCACTCATCCGACCATCTGAACTGGGCACCCTTCTAGGTCAATCTGGTCATCGGGGCTGCAATAGATGAAAATCCCTCCACGAACCGTCTGTAGTAGCCTGCCAACCCCAAGAAACTCCGAATCTCTGTAGCTGATGCTGGTCTAGGCCAGTTCTTGACTGCCTCAATCTTCTTTGGGTCCACCTGAATACCCTCCGCTGATATAACATGACCCAGAAATGCAACTGAACCCAACCAGAATTCACACTTCGAGAACTTAGCATATAACTGACTATCCCTCAGAGTCTGAAGAACCACTCTGAGGTGCTGCTCGTGCTCCTCCTGGCTGCGGGAGTACACCAAAATATCATCAATAAAGACTATCACGAACATGTCCAAATATGGACTGAACACTCGGTTCATCAACTCCATAAACGCTGCTGGGGCATTGGTCAACCCAAATGACATGACCAAGAACTCATAATGCCCATACCGAGTACGGAAAGCTGTCTTAGGGACATCGGATGCCCTAATCCTCAACTGATGGTAACCAGATCGCAAGTCAATTTTGGAAAATACCCTGGCACCCTGAAGCTGGTCGAACAAATCATCAATCCTCGGCAGTGGATACTTATTCTTGACCTTTACTTTGTTCAATTGCCGGTAAGCAATACACATTCTCATTGACCCATCCTTCTTCTTGACAAATAACACCGGCGCACCCCAAGGAGACACACTGGGTCTAATGAAACCCTTCTCAAGCAAATCCTGTAACTGCTCTTTTAACTCCTTTAACTCCGGCGGGGCCATACGATATGGTGGAATAGAAATGGGCTGAGTGTCCGGAACCAGATCAATGCAGAAATCAATATCCCTGTCGGGTGGCATACCCGACAGGTCTGAAGGGAAAACATCAGGGAACTCACAAACAACAGGCACATAATCAATAGAGGGAACCTCAGCACTGGAGTCCCGAACATAAGCTAAATAAGCCAAACACCCCTTCTCGACCATACGCCGAGCCTTCACATACTATATGACACGGCGGGTAGAATGACCTGGAGTCCCTCTCCACTCTAAGCGAGACATACCTGGTAAAGCTAAGGTCACAGTCTTGGCATGACAGTCCAAGATAGCGTGATAGGGTGATAACCAGTCTATCCCCAATATGATATCAAAGTCGACTATATCTAAAAGCAACAGATCTACACGAGTCTCCAGACCCCCAATCACCACAACACAAGAGCGATGGACTCGATCGACCACAATGGAATCACCCACCGGCGTAGACACATAAACAGGAATACCCAATGCATCACTAGGCATGATCAAATACGGGGCAAAATAGGATGACACATACGAATACGTAGACCCCGGATCAAACAACACTGAAGCATCTCTATCAGAAACCAGAACCGTACCTGTAATGACTGCTCTGAAGCCTCTGCCTCGGGCCTAGCCTGAAGAGCATAACATCGGGGCTGGGCCCCACCACTCTAATCTACCTCCCTGGGATGGCCTGCTGCTGGCTGGCCTCCACCTCTGGCGGTCTGAGCTCCACCTCTATGACCTCTATCTCCACCTCTGGCACCTCTACCTCCACCTCTAGTTGGCTGCGGAGCATCTGGTTCTTGAATTATAGGACAGGGACCCTACTGCTGTGACTGAGTACCCCTCAATCTCGGGCAAGCCCTCCTGATGTGACCATACTCACCACACTCATAACATCCCTCCGAACGCTGTGGCTGAGGAAACTGTGGCTGGCCCTGGCGACCTGAATGACCTCCACGGAAACTCTGAAGTGGCGGTGCGCTGATAGGAGCTGGCGGTGCATTGAATGACTGCTGATCAGAATAGTGTGCCTGAGAACCACGGCCACCTGATGTACCGTGAGAAACCTGGAGAGCTGACTGAAAGGGCCTAGGAGGATGGCCTCTACCATATGAATCTCTACCTCCAGACGAGGTACCACTAAATCTGCCGGAATGACGAGCTCTCTTGTCTTCCCCGTGACCACTCCCCTATGACAGAACCATCTTAACTCGGCGGGCCACATTGGCCGCCTCCTGAAAGCTGATATCAGTACCAGTCTCCCTAGCCATCTGGAGATGAATCGGCTGAATCAAACTATCAATAAACCTCCTCACCCTCTCTCTCTCAGTGGTATGACAAGAGCATGGCAAGCTAGATCAATAAACCGGGTCTCATACTGAGAGACCGTTATAGAACCCTGCTGGAGGCGCTCGAACTGCCTCCGATAAGCATCTATCTGAGTAACGGGGAGAAACTACTCCAGGAACAACTCTGAAAATTGATCCCAAGTCAAAGACGACGACCCTGCTGGTCTGGCTAAACAGAAATCTCTCCACCAAGTCTTGGAGGATCCAGATAGGCGAAATGCAGCAAAATCAACTCCATTGGACTCAACAATGCCCATGTTCCGAAGAACCTCGTGGCAGCTATATAAGAAATCCTGGGGGTCCTCAGAAGAAGCGCCGCTGAATGTAGTAGTGAAGAGCTTGGTGAACCTATCCAGCCTCTACAAAGCATCTGCGGACATAGCCGCTCCATCGCCGGTCTGAGCAAATACCCCCGGCTGAACTGCCATAGCGGGCTGAACCACTGGAATCTGACCCTGGGGAGCTACCTGCTCCGGAGTACGTGTAGCAGGAGTCTAGGCTCCTCCTCCAGCTTGAGAAGTGGCTGGTGCTACAGGAAGCAGTCCTGCTCGGGTGACACTCTCCATGAGGCCCACCAACCGGACCAAAGCGTCCTGAAGAACTGGGGTAGCAATAAACCCCTCTGGGACCTGATCTGGGCCCACCGGAACTGCTGCGGCTGGGGCCGGAACCTCCTCCTCAAAGTCAACCTGAGGCTCCGCCGCTGGTGCTGAGCTCTGCCCCTACCTCGGCCTCTAGCACGGCCTCGTCCTCGCCCTCTGCCCCTAGCGGGAGCTTCCTGGGGCTCGGACTGCTGATCGGTAGATGAAGAAGTGCGTGTTCTCTCCATCTGCAAAAGAACAGAGTAGAAATCCAATTAGCATTGAGAAACAGAACCGCACGACTAGAAGGAACAAATGTGAAACTTTTCCTAACTCTGTAGCCTCTGGGGGATAAATACAGACGTCTCCGTACCGATCCCTCAGACTCTACCAAGTTTGTCCGTGAGTTGTGAGACCTATGTAACCTAGTGCTCTGATACCAACTTGTCACGACCCGGATTTTCCACCCTCGGGAGTCGTGATGGCGCCTACTCGTAGTAGCTAGGCAAGCTATTTTGATTACTTAAACAAATCTTTTTAACAATTATGACAACAATATAAAACAATGAATATTAAATAATAGCGGAAGTCTTAATTATAGAAACTGAATAAAACACGGAGTAGTCAATATAAGCCTCTACCCAAGACTGGTGTCACAATACTCACGAACTGCTAAGAATTCTAAATACAAGGGTCTGAAAGAACACATAAGCTGTTTGTCTCGAATATAAAGAGGCAACAGTCTAAAAGAGAGAATAAGAGAGAGACGCCGGGCCTGCGGATGCCTGCAAGGCTACCTCGGGTCTCACGATACTGAAAGCCGGCTCCCGTGCTAATGCTGCTGCTGCTGCTCGAAACCTGGGCCTGTGCAAAAAAAATGCACAGAGTGTAGCATCAGCACAACCGACCCCATGTGCTGGTAAGTGTCTAGCCTAACCCCGACGAAGTAGTGACGAGGCTAGACTGGACTACCACATAAACCTGTACAATTATATATATATATATATATACAACGGAATCGAAAATACAAGTCAAGTAAACAATATCGGGGGGGGGGGGAAAGCATGCTATGGGGAGATAACAGTATTAATAGTAAATCCAGAATAACAAACTAAGGCCAGCTTGGAATTTACAGCGGACGAGAAACCAATACCCAAAAAAAGTATACATACTAGTATCAATGATTGTTGTGGCGCGCAACCCGATCCCAATATTTAACAACACTGTTGCGGCATGCAACCCGATCCATAAATATCATTGTTGCGGCGTGCAACCCGATCCATAAATATCATTGTTGCGGCGTGCAACCCGATCCATAAATATCATTGTTGCGGCGCACAACTCGGTCCATATACATCATTCACCGCACGACATCTAACACTCTTCCTCACCCAATCAACAATCACAAACAAGGGCAAGGGAAAGTAATACCAGAAGAATAGAAGTCCCGGCAAGGGTACACAACAACAATTTAAAGACCCGGCAAGGGTACAACATCAATAACCAACAACGTCCCGGTAGGGGAATGAATCATTAACTCATCTCTTTCTTTCACTTTCATCTCAAAGTTCACGTTATCACTTGAGCCAATGCTCCCAAGGAGTTACTTATCTCATATACCCTCACAATTTGTATTTCAACCCGAGCCAATGCTCCAAGGGGTCCAAAGATCACAATTTCTTTCACAAGATCTTCACAACACATAGAAGTCATCAATTAAGCATGGAAGGCATAACAACAACCAAACTATTCTTAAAATGAGGACTCACGGTCATGCTAGACACCAATGTATAGATACTCGTCACCATGCATATACATCGTACTCGGCAATTAACAAGTTACAATTAAGACTCAACTCCTATTCCCTCAAGCTAGGGTTAAACCAAACACTTACCTCGATGCCTTGAACTCAACTCAAGCCTCAACTATGGCTTTACCCCGAATTTCCACCTCCAATCCGCTCGAATCTAGCCACAAATTACTTTATTACATTAAAAAATAATAAATGAATCAATTTGAATGCATAAAAATAAATTTCCCAAAGTTCCAAAATTCCAAAATCGCCCCCGGGCTCACGTTGTCAAAACCCGAGGTTCGAACCAAAACCCGGTTACCCATTCCCCCACGAACTCAAATATGCAATTTGTTTTAAAATCGGACCTCAAATTGAGGTCCAAATCCCCAATTTATAGAAAACCTAGGTTCTACCCAAAACCCCCAATTCCTCCCATGAAAATCATTGATTTTAAGTTGAAAACATGTTAAATGATGTTAACGATTGAAAGAGTTAAGTAAAAATCGACTTACAAATGATTTGGGATGAAACTTGTTCTTGAGAAATCGCCTAAGGAGTTGTATTTTGAAAGTGGGGTGAAAAATGGTCTAAAATTCGACTAAGTATGAAAAATGCAGGTTGCAGATGTGGGAAATGCGAAGTTGGGTTCGCAATTGCGAACCCTGCAGGCTTGGGAAATGCGACATTACTGTTCGCATTTGCGAACTCAGGCCAACCAGGGGACCTTCGCATTTGCGAATTGGGTCTCGCATTTGCGAACCAGTGACCATCGCATTTGCGATGTTTGGCTTTGCATTTGTGAACCTTGGCCAGCCTAGGCTGGTTTCGCATTTGCGAACCAGCCTCCGCATTTACGATAGCTGGACCTTCGCATTTGCGAACTCTGGCTTCGCAAATGCGAATCCTGCAGATCAGCTGATTCCAGATTTTTCCAAAATGAGAAATGCAATCCGACACCTATCCAAAACTCACCCGAGCCCTCGGGGCTCCAAACCTAATATGCACACAACCTCAATAACATCCTACGGACTTACTCGCGCGATCAAATCGCCAAAATAACATCAAAAACAACGAATCATACCTCAAAATCCCTACTTTTTCTTCAAACTTCATAAACTTTCA